ATACGAAGGTGCGCTCGCCTTTCGACGCCGTGTTCACGCGGTACACCGACCCTACCGCGCGAATACGAGCTGCGAGGAATTGGGGTTGCGAGTCCGCCGTCTCCGTCGGTCGCTGCCGGCTCCCCAGCTCGACTTCGCTCTAATCGGGTCCTCTCGCGACCACGACCGCTCGTCCGAAGAGCCGCGCGTCCGCCTAGACTAAGCCCGCGTCCGCCTAGAATAAGTCCGCATCCGCCGATCCTCTGTTTGCGTCCGCGTCCGCCGCGAATTGTATACCGCGACCACGACCGCTCGTCCGAAGAGCCCGCGCGTCCGCCTAGACTAAGCCCGCGTCCGTCGTACCGCAGTGTAACACTTAAATAAACAATTATTTTGGTAATCCGCAGAGCGACAATTATTCCCTCCTCCCGATCCTCCGATCCCGGACACCGGCGAGCCATCTAAGGCCTCCCCACGAAGGGAAACTCCTCGAGTAACGAGGTCGCGCGCCAGACGCACGCGACTCGTCACAAATTGGCGCCCGAACAGGGACTCGAGGAGGAGGGATATTGTCGCTCTTCGCGTCGGCCATGCCCGCTTGGATATACAAACGGAAAAAGGACGAACTAGTCGCTCTCCTCGACAAACTCGGACTCGACTCCAGCGGAACCATGGAAGACTTGCGAAAGCGCACCGTCCTGTTCTACGCTACCCATCCCGACGCTGCTGGAGAAACCCTCACGGTGGCCACACCGTCTGACCCCGGACCATCTACCCCACTATCGGCCATGGCGCCGGATACGGCCACAATACTATCCCAGGTCCGAAAGTGGGGCTGTGTTTTCGACGGCCGGGACCCGTTGGCGTTTCTCGAGCGCCTTACAGAGCTCGGTGAGGGGTACGGTTACCCGGGCGAATGCCTGCTCCGCGGACTACCAGAACTGTTGAAGGGGGAGTGTCTCCTCTGGTACCGCAACAATAAAGACCAGTGGGGCAGCTGGGCCGACTTCGAGAACGCTTTCAAACAACAGTATCTGCCGCCCCGGTACCAAGCGCAGATGCGCCGAGAGATAATGAGCCGTATGCAGCGACCGGGGGAGGGATACCAGCGGTACGAAACCACGCTCGTCACCATGATGAGGAGGGCCGGAGGCTTTCACTCGGTGGCCCGACTCCTGCAGCTATATGACAATATGCTGCCCGAGTATAAGCTGCAGATACGGTTGGACGGCCTGGAGTCCCCCGAGGACCTACGGAGCCGAGCACTGGAATACGAGACGGTGTGGGAGGCCTGCCGACGCCAGCAGGCAACACCGGAGGTCCGATTGTCTACTACGCCGATACGCCGACCCACCGTGGCGGCCGCCGCCTACGACAGGGAGCAGTGCTGCTGGCGCTGTAAACAGCGAGGCCATACACGCAGTCAGTGCCAGCGACCCGCACGCAGATTCTGCTCCCAGTGCGGCAGAGACGGTGTGCTCACACGGCAATGCCACCCACCGCCGGGAAACGGGGCCAGGGCCGAGAGCGCGCCGGCCGACTCTCGACCCTGAACCCAACCTTGCTCACCTTCACGCCGCGGCCGCACCTTAGCATCCAAATGAATCGCCATCGGGTGCGGGCGCTACTGGACACCGGATCGGAGGTGTCCTGCATCAGTCAGAAGATGCTGCAAGCGATCGCGCCCAGTCAGACCCCGACCGCCAGCAGCCAGGCGCAGATTAGGTTTGCCAACCGGGAGGTCGCCATGACGCAAGGCACCGTACGATTACCGCTACGTATAGGCTCACGCCGGTGGTACCATCACTTCCACGTTATGGAAGTGGTCGATACAGACGTCCTCATCGGGGTAGACCTTTGGGGCAAACTCGGGATCTCCTTAGTGCCCCCGCGTTCACCACAACCTGCGAGGCCGGCCGCATGCCATATGACCACCGGTCTAGCGACCAACACGACAGGGGAGGAGAAACACCTCCAGGCCTTTTTGGAAGAGGAATTCGCCGCGTTTCAGCAAGTACGTGGGCCGACCACGCTCGCAAGCCACCACATCCACCTCATCGACGAACGGCCGATCAAACAGCGGTATCGCCCGCGCAACCCGGCGATGCAGGCCGTGATCGACAGGGAGGTCGCCGAGATGGAGACCGACGGCATCATCGAGCCCTCCACCAGTGCGTGGAGCTCCCCCGTGGTGGTAGTACGCAAGCGAGACGGCGGCCGCCGCTTCTGTATAGACTTCCGGCGCTTGAACGCCGTGACACGCAAAGACGCATACCCGCTGCCGCATATTACCGCCACGCTGGATAAGCTACGCGGGGCACGGTATTTGTCCACGATCGACCTCAAGAGTGGATACTGGCAGATTCCCCTCGACCCGGCCAGCAAACCGTTGACCGCTTTCACGGTACCAGGGCGGGGCCTTATGCAATTCACCGTGATGCCGTTCGGCTTACACTCGGCCCCGGCAACGTTCCAGCGGCTCATGGATCGCGTACTCGGCCCTGCACTGGAACCATACGTCTTCGTCTACCTGGACGATATAATAGTATTAAGTCAGACGTTCGAGGAACACCTCAATCGGCTCCGAGAGGTATTTCAACGCCTACGCATCGCTAAACTCCGCATTAACACCGAGAAGTGCCGGTTCTGCGTACAACAGCTCCGATACCTCGGACATCTGATCGACCACGAGGGAATACACACCGACCCTGATAAAGTAAGCGCGATTACGGACTGGCCAATGCCGCGGACCGTCCGCCAAGTACGCCAGTTCCTGGGGCTCGCCTCGTGGTATCGGCGCTTCATCGAGAACTTCTCGTTGCTCGCCAGCCCGCTCATCCGGCTAACGCGCAAGAGAGAAAGATGGACCTGGGGGGACGCCGAAACAAACGCCGTGAGCCGGCTGAAGCAGACGCTGGTATCGGCCCCCGTGTTGGCATGCCCCGACTTCTCAAAGACATTCGTGCTCCAAACCGACGCCAGCCAGCACGGGGTGGGAGCCGTGCTCACCCAGCAGCACGAGACCGGCGAACGCGTAATCGCCTACGCAAGTCGCGTCCTTAGCCCCGCCGAGAGGAACTACGGGGCCACCGAGCTCGAGTGCCTCGCGGTCGTCTGGGGCGTACGACACATGCGAGGCTACCTCGAAGGGTATCGGTTTACGGTGGTCACCGATCATCAATCCCTCCGATGGCTACAACGATTAGAGACGCCCACCGGACGGCTAGCCCGTTGGCTTTTCGAGCTCCAGCAATACGACTTCGAGGTGCGCTATCGGCCAGGGGCGGCCAACAAAGTAGCGGATGCCTTATCCCGACTCCCGAGCCTCAGCGCTATCCGCACCAGCGATCCGCCCGACTGATACCATCGACTCCGAGCGGACGTGAAGAAACACCCCGGCGCGTATCCGGACTACGCTCTCCGCGGTGGGCGGTTATGGCACCACCGGCTGCATGACCTGTATTTCTACGAGACACCGGCGGATGCCCAGTGGAAGGCATGCGTGCCCCGGAACCAACGCGACGAGGTCCTACGCCAGGGCCATGATGAGCCCACGGCAGGGCACCTAGGAGTCGCCAAGACGATCAGCCGCCTGGCACGCACCCATTATTGGCCGGGCATGTTTCGAGACATCGCCCGTTATGTCCGGAACTGCCCGAATTGCCTCGCCAACAAGCCGCTCCAGCGGGCACCAGCAGGCACCCTACACGCCCGCCTCGTCGAGGGTCCGTGGGAGCAAGTAAGCGTCGACCTGATGGGGCCGCTACCGCGCTCAACCAATGGCCACACCAGCCTGCTGGTGCTGCAAGACCGCTTTACGAAATGGGTGGAGATGCAGCCTCTCCGCGGCGCCACCACCCAGGCCGTCATCAAGGCCCTATCAGATCGCCTATTCTATCGCCACGGATCGCCGAGCCTACTGATCACCGACAACGGGCGGCAATTTCGGGCACGCGAATTCGCGGCCCTGCTCCAATCCTTCCAGGTGAAACACCAGACGTCTCCGGTATACGCCCCGCACTGCAACCCAGTAGAACGCGCCAACCGAACCGTTAAAACAATGATACGTCAGTACGTGGGGCGCGATCACCGAAATTGGGACCGTCACCTGGGAGCCTTGCAGTTCGCGATGAACACCGCGCAACAAGCCTCCACGGGGTATTCCCCCGCCTTCCTGAATCACGGACGCGAACTCCGCGCCCCCGGCGCAACGCCACCCCTACAGGCCACCGTCGCAACCCCACCTAACGTCCGTCACAAAATTCTCCGCGAAGCATACAACGTCGTCCGTATCAACCTCGCACGGGCTTTTTAACGGCAGGAGCAACAATATAATTTGCGCCGACGCCCATGGAAGCTTCGAGTAGGAGAACAGGTGTGGAAGCGGGACCACCCGCTGTCCACCAAGACCGACGCCTATGCCGCGAAGCTAGCGCCGCGGTACCTCGGGCCGCTGACCGTCCGACGCCTCGTCTCCCCCGTCATCGCAGACCTGCAGGACGAGGCGGGGAGGTGGTACCGACATGTTCACGTGCAAGACCTGAAGCCGGCACCCGTGGACCACGTGCCCGCGGAACAACAAGCGGCGCTCGGCGCGGCAGCCGCGTCGCCTAGCAACGCGGGATCAACCCGCAGGTATAAATCGAGGTCCCGCGAGCACCCCAAGCAGAGCAGTTCCAGATTTCGAGATGGAGCGAAGAGAGCAAAAACTGCAGCAATTGTGGGCCGACCTCGCGATGAGCGAAGACGAAGAGAGGGACGTGCCGGCCGTCCCAACACGCCGACCGACGCCGACAGTCGGCATGACGGTGCAACGCTCCGACGCGAGTCACCGTCGAAAGCTGAAGTGGCTGACGAGCCCGCCGCCGCCTCGACAACCGCGACAACGAGAGCCACTTAGATGCTCGGGCCAACGGCGAATACGTCCGCCGATATCACCGTCACTACGAAGGACGGAGCATCGCCCGAGACGGGCCGTGGGGTGCCAACCATCCGCGCCTCCACGCGACCCAACTCCGCTAACACCAGCGGTACAGCGGCACACTGCGGCCGATCAACCACAGCGAGGCCTAGAGGTGACCACGCCGCCGTCACCCGGGGGACCGACACCACCACCGACACCGCCACCACAGTCGGCCCCAGCACCGAGGCCCGCCCTCGAGCCGGTCCGAGGAACGCCGTCACCACGACCACGATACGAGGTAGTCTCACGACCACCGCTACCGCCGGCACAGGTCCCGGAGGGGCCTCAG